AGGCAAACATACTGGTAGACCAAGGAAGACATCAGAGCGTCAAGACAGAAAACTTGAAGCAATATGTCTCTAAAACCGAAAATGCACAACAAAACAAATGAGGAACAAATGGGAGGAAACTGGAGTTAACGTCTGTGACCAAACTGTAAGGAACCGCCTAAAGGAAATGAGATTTACATACAGAAAAGCTAAATGAAAGCCATCATTAAAACCAAAACAGAAAAAACAAGGTTACAATGGGCTAAGGAAAAGCAATTGTTGACCATGGATGACTGGATGAAAGTCATATGCAGTGATGAATCTCGAATCTGCATTGGGCAAGATGATGATGCTGGAACTTTTGTTTGGTGCTGTTCCAATGAGATTTATAAAGATGACTGCCTTAAGAGAACATGCAAATTTCCACAGTCATTGATGATATGGGGCTGCATGTCAGGTAAAGGCCTTGGGGAGATGGCTGTCATTACATCTTCAATAAATGCACAAGCTTACATGGATATTTTTGACAATTTTCTTATCCCATCAATTGAAAAGATGTTTGGGATGATGAAACCATTTTTCAAGATGATAATGCATCTTGCCATAGAGCAAAAACTGTGAAAACATTCCTTGGAAAAAGATACATAAAGTCAATGTCATGGCCTGCAAATAGTCCGGATCTTAATCCAATTGAAAATCTTTGGTGGAAGTTGAAGAAAATCGTCTATGACAAGGCTCCAACCTGCAAAGCTGATCTGGCAACATCAATGAGAGAAAGTTGGAGGCAGATTGATAAAGAGTACTGTTTGTCACTCATTAAGTCCATGCCTCAGAGACTGCAAGCTGTTATAAAAGCCAGAGGTGGTGCAACAAAATACTAGTGATGTGTTGGTGTGTTCTTTTGTTTTCCATGATTCCATAATTTTTTCCTCAGAATTGAGTGATTCCATATTTTTTCCCTCTGGTTGGTCTAAAAAATTAACTGTTACGCACAAAAATTAACCGTTATGCACAATTTTTTTTTCTTGATTTCTTATAGTGTTTCTTGAAGCCAGAAAGTTGCCATTTGAAATGACTTTGATTTTGTGTCATGTCTGTGATCTGCTTTTTTTCTACAAAGTTAAACAACTGAATGAACATCCTCCAAGGCTGGCGATTCCATAATTTTTGCCAAGTGTTGTATATCTGGTATCTGGGCTTGCAATCTGGTATGCCCAGCAAAAAAAAAATTAGCAATGCTGATAAGTATAAAGCAGCCACTATAAGTACATGCAATATTATTGAACAATATTGTTTGCACAATATATTGATGGCAGCCACACTATATATTGCTCAGTAATATTGAGTGTCTAGGAACCGCAGTGAGAAATTGTGCAATCTCATCCCCAGACACACAACCATACTTTGCTAACTGTCCCTGCCAGACTTTCAGGGAGTCAACATGTTGCACAAAACTAAATCGTGTTGTGTCATACTTGATGCCCCGCAAGTCATATTTGTGTATAATATAAAGAAGGGAGGCATGCAGAAAAGGAAAAGTGTTCCAAGCACTGGTTTATTGTAGGGGATAGGGTCATTAACAAAAAATTACTTGATGAACTAAGAGCATTTTGCAATCAGCACTTTCTACTGTTCCAACTTCTTTGAATTAGTGTAATATGTGCATTTAACATCCCATTAAACTGGGAGACCAAAATAGAGCTCAAAAAAGTTCGAAATAAATATCTTCCAGTGGCCATTAGAAGGACACATGATTGACACAACCACTTTGAACAACAACTAGGTCTGAACTGAGCAAATATTGTTCACTGTTGCCCCCAGAGGACACAAATTATTCTACTTTGCACAATATATTTTCCAGCTTTCGAGCATCCCATAATCTATAGCTTAACCTGTCAATGTGGGCCCTAGATGCTCAATTATATATTGGGCAACCCAAAATATTGATCAATAATATTTCTTGTCTAGAGGCTGTGTGAAAAGGTTGTCATATCCATGCACAGCTCCACTGATAGCACAGGTCTGCAAAAAAATATATTTTCAAAGAATTGTTTTGATTTTGTTACTTGATCTTCATGACATTTTTTTACTCTGATTACAACAATGATATTGTTTTTTTTTCTATCACATAATAGTTAGATTTGCCTATGAATTTTTAAAATCACAAAAACTACAAAGAACTGTTAATTTTGTACTAATTTTTATTGCTTTGACATGAAGTAAAAACAAAACACAACAATATTTAGCTAAAATGTGGATAGTAATGATACATATGTGCTGCAATGTTATTATTAGTCTTTGTAACAATGATTTCTTTTCCTATTGATGCTTCTTTTTCTGTTTTTTTTTGCCGTGTTCAATTTTCATGTGTGTTCTCCAATTTGAACATCATCAGTAGTCTGTCATCATATTGATGTTCCATCAATGTTGGTATCTGCACTCTCTCATATCTTGTGCTTCATGTTCATCTCCAAGATTTCCTTAATAGTAGTCCACATGTGAGTGAAAGAAATGGTTTTTAACACTTGTGTTGCAGCCCAGCATGTTGTGATTTTATAATGATTAAGCAAACAGAAGTTTGTAGTTTAGATTGGTTTTGTTTTTGAGAAAGCCTGTTACAACTGTTTCAAATGAATTTCTGCCATTCTTTCCTTACATTTTCATTTTTTGACAGAGGTTTTGTCTTTTAAAAAATTTTTATGCTAGACCCTACAAAGGTCCCCTCTCTCTGCCTAGAATCAGATAAGAAAGGAAAATTTTTCCTAAGATCTTGATTCACTCTTTTTCTTCGCTTAATGCTTCAATAAATTGTTCTGTTATATTATTAATTGCCGGGATCTGTTGCTTGGCATCGCCCCAGTGAGGGCAGTGGCTCTGGGGGAGGAGGAGGGAGCAGAGGGTCCACTCCAAGAATGGCAAAGAAGGATGGGAGTGACAAAAGGAATGCTGCAGTTGGTCCAAGGTTAGACCAGAAGTCCAGTGGGGTTAACGAGGTGGGGTGTGACGGGCAGCCAAAGAGGTGATGGGTGGTGTGATCCAGAGTGGAGCTGGGAAAGGGCACTTCTGGCCACTATGGGGAGGGACTGCTTGGTAGATGAGATGGAGGGGGCAGGGATTAGCAACACCTTGCTGGGAGCTGCTGATGACAGGTAGTTGGAGACAGCAGAGCTGTGCAGGGTGCTGAGAGCAACAGAGTCGGAGTTGGGTAACTGTTCTGTACTGTTCTGTAAGCCTCAATTTGATGTTAACTTTGTCTTTTGAAAATTTTAATTCTGGAAATTAGAATATTTCTTGTTGGCCATATCTGCCTGACATAGTTTTTACTGTCACGCCTATTCAATTCAGAGGAAATGAGGAAACTGTTTACCCACTTGGCTGGCCTTGTAACATTGAAGCTATTTTTAGATACCAATCCACCTAAAGAAGCTGAGGTCATTGAAAACAAGCACAATAATTTTATAGTATTCTTTCAACTTGACTGAGTTTACGGAATGCATATGTAAGCATATTGATTACCATTATGAAGTATTACTTTCAAACTCCCTTTTGATAGTGTTAAAAATGGCGGACAAAGCTGCAGTGAAATGACTAGTAACTGAATTTACGAAGTAAGAAAAAGTCAATCTCTAAGAAGTTCGGATGGTTGTTAGACTGCTGACTATTTGAGGAAAAAATGAACAATAAAATAAATAACGAATATCGATGTCCCTACAAGTTTACGGAATGCATATTTAAGCATATTGATTACCATTATGAAGTATTACTTTCAAACTCCCTTTTGATAGTGTTAAAAAGTTTTCGTTTTTCTAGTTCACAAGTGATGTCAAATATTTTTTGATTCCTGGTACATTGTTGCAGAGGACAAGGTGTCCCTCTTGTGTAAAAAAATTGACAAATTTATTTCTTAAAACAATCAAATACAAAGAACGCTGTGCCATGGTGATATGATACATATTTATATTATTTAGTAACCTACCCAATTAAATATATCTTGCTTTCAAGATGTAAATAGAGTTTTCCTGGCATTTTTGGAGCCGTGAGATTCTAGATGAATTAACTCCGATCTAATTGATAACAAAAATGCATGATTGGGCTGCAAAATGCATTGAAAATTTAGCACTTTGGAGCCATAGTGTTCCAGTAGTTAGTTGAAAAATTCCAATTCTGCCCACAAGCAGCCTGGCAGGCAGTACCATCTAACCGGGTAATAAGGGGTGGTTTTGAGCATTTTTTGTCAATAACTTCTTACCATGAAACATTTCATAAACAAGTTTATGTTCATTTTATATCTATGTAAAATATTTTTTCTATCTATATAAAAAGTCAAAAAATCATAAAAAACATACTTTAAACAGAAAAAAATATTCTAGTGACAACCATCATATTTTTTGGAGAAATGAATCAAAGTTTAGATTAATTACTTGTCATTTTATGTTGCCCAGTGCTCAGTTCTATCTATGAAATTCTCTGCACAATTTTGTGATGACCAATGATGCATTGATTTTTTGGTAAGTGAAGTTTTTTGCTGAGTGAGGTAGATTTAATAATAATTTATTGTTGTTAATTTAATAATAATTTATTTGTTAACTGGAGCCTTTGCTAATTGAGGTTCTACCGTGAATGCATTTTTATGGGTATCCCTTATTACCCCGCCTTGCAGAAATGGCCGACATTTTGGGGGGAATAAGTTATACAAATTCCATCAATCATGTTTTTAATTCAACACCTTTGTGCAACTTTCGTGTATGTGCAATTTTTTTATTAGGCGAATATTTTTTACTACAAACCTCAGCAGAGGTAAATCTCAAAAATCTCATTTTTCACAATTTTTTCAGGGATTTTTCAGAGGTAGTAATTGTATGATTTATTAACTTGTTTTATGCTAAATAGATAGTAAAAATGTTGATCTCTATGCCACTATTTTTAGTTTTGCAATATTTTGATAAGTTTAGCTGCTACAAAATTTCTACAAANAAATTTTCCAGTAATGAGTAAATAGTAAATGCTCTTTGTCTCGGCAGATTCCTTGCAGCAGATGCCGCAGCTGCAGCAGATAATAAAACAGCTGCAGCAGATAATACAACAACAGCAGCAACAACAGCAACAGCTGCAGCAGCAACAACAACAGCTGGATCAGATACAACAGCTGCAACAACAAAAGCAGCAGCAGGCACAACAGCAGACACAACAACAACAACAACAACAACAACAGATTCAACAGATAGAACAACAGCTGAAACAACATTGGGAGCTGCGTCAGTTACAACAGCAACAAGAACAACAGGAGCTGCAGCAACAACAGATTAAGCAGCTAAAACAAGAGCTGCAACAACAGGAACTGCAGCAGTTACAACAGACGCAGCAACAACAGATTCAACAGATAGAACAACAGCTGAAACAACATTGGAAACAGCACGAGATACAACTGATAGTGCAAGAGATAAAACAAGAGTGGAAGCTGCTGGAGTTAGAAGGACAACTGAAGCTGCAGCAACAACAGATTAGGCAGCTAAAACAAGAGCTGCAACAACAGGAGTGGAGGCAGTTACAACAACTAGAGCAAGTAAAACGGGAATTAGCAGACCGTCATGACCAGGTAATAAGGCCTGGTGCCCACACAGATTTCAGAAGCAGCAGATTCATCAATATATTTATTTTGGCTACACACACCGTAGAAGGTCATTTTAGTTTCAGACTTTTCATTTGAAAGCAAAATATCGTATCCCTGAGTCATTCTTGTCCCTTGTATGTGTCCATGTAATGGGTACACCCCACCCTAAATGAAACTTTTCATATTCTTCTTATTCCCAAATATTGACAATTCTCAGTTATTCATACAGAGCAAATTCAGCCGCCATGTTGCCCGAGAAATGCTTACAAACCTCATAATTTTCCGCAGCCGGATCCCTCGCCCCAGTCCATGATCGGTTCTGTGAACTCCGCCGCTGTGGGGCCACACTCAGGAGAGCCTTTCCCTGCGTCTTCAGGCCTCACAACATTGAACAATCCTGGCATATCACAACAACAACAACAACAATGTGTGAGACCCACGGGTTCTGACGTGGTGAAGCCCATGAACGCTGGGGGTGCTCCCATTGGTCTTCTTGGTGGTGCGGCGGGGCCCATCATGGTGCCAAGCAGCCCTCTGCAGCAGCAGAAGGTCTACAACAGCTCCTCCATCACCGTAACGTTACCAGCCAATCTCTCCTCATCACTACAATGTAATACGAACCTTTCTCTGAATCTGGCATCTTCAGTTCACTCTTCTCTTGGTAATATTCCATCGTGTTCTTTGATGGGTCCATCTTGCACGTCCATCTTCCCTGGAGGCGCATGCACCATGGCTCCCACTGTAAACAACTCCTTCAGGCAGCAGCTCGCGCCTCCACCTTACACTTCAACTGCCATGAATGTCCCCAACATCCCTATTTCTGCTTCTCTAAAAGTTGCATTGTGCAGCGGAGGTGACATCTCAAACACTTCGCTGTCACACATCTCTCAAGCTCCTAATATAGTCGCTTCGTCCAGCCCTGCTTTTACCGACAGCAACAACTTGAGCCTACAGTCTTCCTCGCCATGTACCTCCACAATGACAAGCTCTTCTTCTGTCCTTGCTACCACTAGTGGATCAGCTACTCTTCCTAATGAAAAAACTGAAGTCATGAACTTCATCAAGCAAGAACCTATGGATATGGACGCCAGGAAGGAGCCCTCGTCTCCTGAGGGCGCTGATGTCGAAGTAAAGATGGAGATCAAGACCAGAGTTAAAGATGAGCCGACTTCACCTGAGAGCGACTTCAATTCAAAAAATGTTGATGGTCTCTGATGCTCCATACATCTAATGCAAGTGTGCGCTGGTTCGTGAAAGAAGCGATAGTAACTTAGCATCACAAGATGTTTGTTTGGAAACCCATGAATGAATCAAAATCCGTTCCTAGCAGCATAGCTTGATACAGTGTGTGTGTTTCCAGACATGTGTAGGTTTTTTTTATCATTCGAATGAAATAAATTTTAGGTACATGTACACATCCATCATGCATAGTGTCCAGTGCCCAATTGCGCCCGTGCAACTGTTCTTGCTGTCCTGTTCGATCCTGGGGCATTTGATCTTGGGCTGATTTGATGTCAGACGGTTTACTGTGTGCTGCTATGATGCCGGTTGGTTTAATCGTGGGCTGATTTGATACCAGGTGCTTTGATCGTGAGCTGGTTTCAAGCCGGGCGGTTTAATGCCAGGCGCTTAGATCGTGGGCCAGGCGTTCTGATTCGGTGGATGGATGCTGGCGACTTTCTTGTGTGTTGAACTGATGCTCTCAGCAGGTGCTTTCGATTTTATGTCTATTTGTCTTGCATTTTACTCACACTTCTAAATTTGAATAGCTAAGATTTTTCCTCCTTCAGAAATTAATGTTGAAATGTAGATGAGCAAAAAATTTGTTTGTAGTTTGGGATAATAATTGGTGTGTACATCATAATAACTTATAGTTTTATGTTACCTGCAAATTCAGTGAGGCTGTGATTTCTTAGTTAAGGATGTATATTTGCTAGAGTTATGCATATATCTTCTGACGAGTTAAATGTAATGCTCTCACACACGGTTTGGGCCTAATGCCAAACAACCGCAACCGTCTGTGCTTGTCAGAAGTCCTATGGGACTTCGTGTTCTTAGGGATGCATTGTTCTTGAGCGCCCCACCGCTGAGCTCGCGGTGTCAGACTGCGGGTCCCAGTTGTGGGGGTTAAGTTTTTATGTAGGTAGGATTCCTTACATTCATTAAGTTATTATGTAGGCAGGATTCCTTGCATTCATTAATTTATTATGTAGTTAGGATTCCTTACATTTCCCTTCTCTGTCTCTCGCGTGAGGGCGGCCGATGTCCCGTGTAAGCGACCTCTTGTTCGAGTGTCTTCGTTTCTGCTGCTCTTCACCTGTCCCTCATTGTCACTTCGTCTCTTTGAGATGCCAACGCTGCTTCTTTCGAGCCAGCTTCAGCGGGCTGGACATCCGAGATCATCTGCCCTTTGTGGGTGATGATAAATTTGAGACTTAGAATAATTGAGACCTGCTGGCGATATCTTTTTTACCTCCGGTGCCAAATAGCTTGTTGTTTGAAGAGCTACCAAACCATTCTTCTACTACTACTACTTGTTGTAAGTTTTTGAATCTTACGTGCACGAGTAGCAAACGAGGGAATTCCATTTAATATAGTATAGTAGTTTTCATAAGGCCTAATTGGGCTGTGGCCGATTCTTAACCGCACGGCCACCTTGCCGAAAACTGTCGCAGGAAGCAGGGATGTAACCCCCGGAACTAAACTGTCGCCGGAAGCAGGGATGTAACCCGGAACTAAAACTATTGCATGAAGCAGGGATGTAACCCGGAACTAAAACTATTGCATGAAGCAGGGATGTAACCCGGAACTAAACTGTCGCAGGAAGCAGGGATGTAACCCGGAACTACGGAACTAAACTGTCGCAGGAAGCAGGGATGTAACCCGGAACTAAAACTATTGCAGGAAGCAGGGATGTAACCCGGAACTAAAACTATTGCATGAAGCAGGGATGTAACCCCCTGAACTAAACTGTCGCCGGAAGCAGGGATGTAACCCGGAACTACGGAACTAAACTGTCGCAGGAAGCAGGGATGTAACCCGGAACTAAACTGTCGCAGGAAGCAGGGATGTAACCCGGAACTAAACAAAGAATTATCAGAGCCAATTGCTAAAATAGTTATGATAGAGGACAAAATTGATAATGTACTCTGAAAAATTAAAGATTTTGCTATACTATCATATTAAACTTACTTTCAACTTCATGTCTTTGGCTCTGGCCGTGGTATTATGTATGGTTTGCCCAAAATTCATAAACCAGATTTCAATGTGGAATTTCAATTCCCTCCAATTTTTGCTGCTTTTAACACTCCTAGTTTCAAACTTGTAAAATTTTCAGTTCTGCTTTTAAACTGTCTTATAACCAACCAATATACTGTGAACATCATTTTCATGTTTGTAGATAACCTGAAGAGTTTTACCAATGTTCAGGAATTGACTATGGCCTCTCTTGATATGGAAAATTTATTTACTAATATACCTCTTTCTGTTTCAATTCATTGTATAAAGATGTCAATGACCTTGTCAAGTGTTTCAACCACAATTTTTTTCAAATCTCTCCTTGAATTATCTGTGCTAAACTCAATTTTTGTATTTTTTGGCAAGTTTTACAGACAAAATGACAGTTAAGGCATGGGGTTTTCACTTGGCCCTACCCGTTCCAATATTTTCATGTGATTTGAGTAGGCTACATGTTTGTCCATTTATCTGCTTTATTTCAAGCCAATTTTCTATGAGCGATATGTTGAGGATACTTTTTTTTATTTCCAAGCATCCTTCTCATGTGGGTGTTGTCTTTGACTATTTTAGTCTCCAAAATAAGTCTATCATATTCACCACAGAGCTTGAATTCCCACATTTTATAGAAATGTTGCAGCAGCTAAACTAATAAAAATATTGCAAAACTAAAAATAGTGGCATAAACTTCAACATTTTTAGTATCTATTATGTATAAAGCTAGTCAAGAAATCAAACATTTACTATCTCTAAAAAATCACTGAAAAAAAGTGTGAAAAGTGCAATTTTGGAAAAGTACCCTGCTAAGGTCTGGAGCAAAAAAATATTCGCCGTATTAAAAAATTTTACTTACATAAAAGTTGTACCCAGGTGTCGGCTTGAAAACGTAATTGACAGAATTGTCCTATCTCATTCCCAAAAAAATGGCAGCCATTTCCGCATGGCAGGACTACTCGGGACACCCCCCCGGGGTAATTAGGGACACCCTTAAAAATGCATTTACAGTAGAACCTCAGTTAGCAAAGGTTCCAGTTAACAAAAAAATTGATTAACAACAAAGAAT